CTGCAGCCTAGGAAGACGTTGAAGGCGCGCGCACTTAAAGATGAAGTGCGAAGACCGATCGCGATCGGCGAATTTCCGGAGATGGAGTCAAGTGCCGAGAAGGAGCAACTCGTATCGGCAGCTTTCCCTGTACGCCGGTAGGTCACAGGTGTTCATGAGATCCGGTCGACTTTCGGCTCAGAGGACAGGGTTCTGGACGTTCACGTCGGCGTGGAAACTCCACGTGTCGTGTGCATGAATCTCATGTTACCCTCAAAGTTTCCAGGTCGTGAAAGTCAATTATCATTGGGCGATTTGCTGGCGAGGCACCATAGGACGGCACGAGGATAGGACGTCCGGACGGCCAAACCAAAATGTTAACAGAGAGACAGAAAAGACGGGGAAGAGTTGACTGGGAGGAGGTGCGACGAACAACTGATTTTGAGTTTAGGCCCCATTTGCCGGGCCGCACCACGGGGCGAATTGCTCTTCGAAACGTATAAGGACCCCCCGCTGCGTTTGAGTTTTGAGTAGGGTAATGTTTGCCCGATCCGTGCTGTGACGCAGAGCAATGAAGTTGCCAAGCAAGGGGCGTGCGCTTTTGCCTTTGTCTTTAGTTCGCTGATGATGGCACCGCCTGCCGACGAGTATCTGCAGCCGATCTCCACGCCTTCAGCCTCAATTGTGCATCAATGACAACATTCAACCCTACAACCGGAAAAGGTAAATGCGTTTCCGTCGGACTCCCACAGTTCTCCGTGAAGGCACAATCGCTTATTTCGTTCAACAGCCCAACGCAACCTGATGCACCCTAGAATACCCACTTTGTGACAGCAACTTTAGACGACCTGACTCAGAATTCTGGGTAATGGGGCCATGGCCATATCGCGGAAATAAACCCCAAACAAGAGGATGTCCAAGGCCTTGGCTGAATAAGGGATGCCGGTGCTGTCAACGGCTTAGTTGCACGGTACTGCGCCGGGCAGATAGACAGGGAAGAGAAACAGACAAAAGCGAAAATAAGCATAATCTGGTTTCTAGATCTGGCGGCGGGTCAAGGTTGGTGAGCCAATACATTAGTCGTGTTTACGAAGACGGAGCAGCCCGTACCGCACGTTGCAGACAGTAATGTCTTGCTGAAGCTGATTCTAGCCTAGATTGACACGACTCATATCATTGTTCGCTCTGTATTGACCCGTCGGAGTGCTCCATGCGCCGAAGCTAAGTTATTGAAAGCTTTTCCGCGTACGAACTGCGAGATCTTTGTGTTACGTTTGGGGTAATAGTTACCGTGGAACAGATTCAACTTCCATGTCCTCATGAAGAAATGAATTTGCTCAGAACTGAGTCAATTGAACGTTGCTCAGCGCCGTTGTGAAGCTCACGAAGCTTGTTACTTCGTTATACTGCGAAATTCGCGCGACTGTTGCGACTTAGTCTAACCGGCCACCCTGGTAGCTTGGTTGGCAATGTCAACTAAACCGACACCACTCCTTTCTCCGTCTGGTCCCTCTCCTCCAGTCCAAACTCAGTCTCCAATTCCTTCCTCAACTTGACCTCTCGCTCAAGAAAGCTCAGCAAGAAGGCGAGCCCCGCAAACGAAAGCGCAATAAAAAAAACCTTCCTCAAAGCTTCAGTGAAAACCTCAATAATCCGATCTCTGACGGGTGTAGAGAAACTCTCAACGAACACCTTCGTCGCGCTCGCATAAGCATCTCCATGTCTCAGCACATCCCTCGCCCCAGCGTCATCAACAATCTCAGCAAACTTGGCGGTGTAGGTGTTGAAGATGGCAGCTGGAATAGCTACACCCCAGATCTGACCAAAGCTCCGGATAAACGACCAGCTCGCTGTTGCTGCCGCCTGGTCCTTCTCTTCTAAGCCAGCCTGAAATGCCGGCAGTAGCGTGTTGAGGAGCATCCCTGACCCCAGCGCTGGCACAACTTGGACCAACACCCATGCCGCTGTGTCGCTGTGTCGGTCTAGCAGGGTCCAAACGCCGAAGCCGACTGCAAGGAGCGCAAAGCCAGAGATGTGGAGGGCTTTATATCTTCCCCAGCGGCTGAGTACCAGCGCAGATACAGCAGCCCCTGGAATGGCAATAAGGCAAACCGGTAGTAGCTGCACGCCGGACCGTGCAGGGGTTGATAGCTTCACGGCTTGGAAGTAGAGAGGGAGAAAGAAGAATGCCCAGTATACCATTGCCGAGTTGAAAAAGGTCGTGGCATAGACCACAGCTGAGGTGCGGTTGGCGAACAGGCGGAGAGGCATCACTGGCTCTGGGACTATTCCGCATCCTTCGACGACGCAGAAGCCAGCGAGACCCAATAGACCGAGAATCAGGGGGACGATGACCTTGTAGGAAGACCAGGGATGTACGGCGCCTGCCCAAGTAAGAGCAATGAGAACGGACACTGTCGATGTTATCAGAATGGCGTTGCCAATCACGTCGATTCGGCGCAGTTTGTTCCCAGTTGTAGAGGTCCTATCCCACTTCACGTGGAGGAAAAGGTAAAGGAGGACCAAGGAGAAACCGCCAACAGGCAGGTTGATGTAGAATACCTGCGTGAGTCAGCATCTGCCAGAGAAAGACCAGGGGAAATCTAACCCATCTCCAAGACGTCTTCTGCACAATGATTCCGCCCACGAAGGGGCCTATCGCGGTTCCGATCCCGTAAGTGACCAGGATGATTGCAATATAATTTCCTCTGTCTCTAAGCGGCACCAGATCTGAAATGATGATGTCAACAATCATGTTGATACCCCCACTTCCGGCTCCCTGAATCGCTCGGCCAGCGATGAGCATCGCAGGGCCATTTGCACCGCCACAAATGCCGCTTCCTAAGGTGAAAAGAGCTACAATGGCAATTGTGAGATATCTGCGACCAAAGAGGTTCGAAAGTTGGCCGAAAAGCGGTTGTACTGCTGCGCTACGCCTCAGGAGATTAGAGACGTGTTGGCATGAATACGACTGGAAAGGTTTACCTCGTGAGGAAGAATATGTTGGCGACCCAAACGTAACTGCTTCCAAAATTGAGCTTTTCGACAACTGTGGGCAGGGAGGTGACGATGACTGTATTTTCCAGAGATGCGAGAAGGGAGGTGATGCACAGCGCAAACAAGATGGCCCAGAAACGGTAGTCTTTCTTGTATGAATCTGATGCATTTAACCCAGCTACCTCGGGGGTGTCACCGGATTTCTCTTCGATGTGAGGCGCTGCCATGTTGATGGGCGTGCTGATCGTTTTTTGGATGTGGTTCTCTGTGCCAGCTGCTGTAAGCGTCGTCAGTAGTTCTGAATCTCGTGAGCTTAAAATAGTTCAAAGTGAGCTTTCGAACAAGATGTGTTCTGTCGTTGCAAGAGACAGCAGCGAATCTTTCACCTCTAGTACCCCTGAGTATTTAGAATGGTAGCCATGTTAGCAGGAGAGTTTTAATTCACCGACCACGATGATCGGAGGCTTCTTGATGATCAGGTTGCTGACGGGCTTACGACACGATCCTTCGACAAGCAGTCGGAGGCTTTCGCCAAATGTCTTACGCTTTTCATCGGGGCCCTATTGGACGGTCTGATTACATCAGCCATTGGTCATAAAGAGACCAAGTCCGACCCCGTCTGGGCCATCTCATATGAATTTCCTGTATAGTGAGAGAATGCACATCTTTGTTAATTGTAAAACGACACTATTCAGAACTCGAAAACCTAAGTATCACTCTACTCATATTTCCAACCAATGGGCCAACGATAATGATCGCTTGGCAATGCCTTATGACTACTGGGCTCCCTATGTTGCTCTTCGGGGTCCCGGACCCAAAGCAGTAGCGAGATCTTTTATGCATCGCCAGATACATGCACACACTTCCATTTCCGGGGTTGGCGCGGATCGCACGATTAAGAGCGTCTCTGTTCTCTGATATCTAAAATCATAATATCCGTCAGTCTCCAGAGCCGGCGTAAGGGGGTTGGACAGAACATGAACCTCCAAACATACCCTGTAGCCACCCTCGTTACACATAGTGAAGAAATAACTGCTGCAGGTCGAAGCGTAGCAGGTGGATTTCTGCCGAACAAGTGTCTGGGTTCCAAACCGGTGATTGAACATGTCGACGAGCTGTTGGAGGATGTGGCGGCCCCATGCCCCCAGTGGGTCTACCGAAAACCCATTCGTTCAAGGGGACAGAGTCTTGTCTAGTGACTAATTCGATTTCATGTCTTCTTCTTTCCGAGGAAGACGTACCCCTTTCGTAGCCTTGCTCATCCAAGTCTCCATGATATGATGAAGCGTCTTCTGGTAGAGGACTGTCACGAATGAAGGCCGCTCTAACACCCATGGTTGCAATGGAAGGAGAGAAGATCAATTTGACAAGCTTCTGGAAGAGGTAGTCAAGATTAGAGACTAAGGAGAAATCCCAGGGCAGAGAACATACCATGTTCAGCGATGTTGTAGCTATGGGCGTGCGTTATGTAGACTAGTTGAGTGGGAATCCGAAAATAGCCTCTCGGGTCTCTTTTGGAGTCTGGGGAAAGGGAATATAGACTAGTATTACTCACGTTCATCACTCATGGCGTCTGGTGCTCATGTAAGTTTCTAGTCATTGGAAAGTGGCCATGTCCATGGTGTCTTGATGGCCTCGAAAGCCTAGCAAATCCACCCAGAGCGAGGCACACCGACGGCCACACGAACCCGAGACGTTGTGAGGCTTGCAATCTCACCCAGTGCGCGCCATATCGTCAACGTTGGCGGCTTCAGCCAATCAATGCCTCCTTCTAAAACCTGTCTCACAACACCAGGGAGGATGCCATACCCAGAAGTGGGCAGTGAACTGGCCAAGGAAGACAGACATTCATTCCCGCTACAATCGTTGGCAAGACACCGCACCACCGCGATTCGTCGTTGAGCAGACCGAAAGGCGACCGAAAGGTCACTGACCTTGGCGTCAGTACCTCCTTATTGAATTATGACAAAAGTTGAATTTGCTCCCGAAGAATGCCAGCAAGATGAGCACTTTTCCTAAATCAATCAAAGATACTCGCTATATCCGTAATTGGGATATTGTCCAACATCCACATCGAACCCGTTGTAAGCGTACGACATCGTTGGCCCAGAGCTAACTCCAACAAATCCGCCGCCTACACCCTCGTAGCCATTGCCTGGGGCGACCATTCTTCCTCCTCTTATACGGTTGACCAGCTCCGTAAGCTCCTTGAGCAGAACACTTGCCGCAATCACCTTGAAGCTCTGCAGTTGCTTCCCGTCCTCGAGCTCGAAACCCTCGTTGGGCATCAGGCCCACCATCAGGCAAGAATATGACATCTCCAAAGCCTCCCTGTTTGGCGCGAGCATGCGGGTGACGGGATCGTCCGACAGAAAGGAGTACTGGTTGCTACTGCTGCTGTTGTAGATCGAGGAGGCTTCCTGATCCACGGTCCGGAGCTTGCGTCGCATTTGACCCACGAGCCACTCCGAGAGACGGTCGAACTCGGCCTTGAGCTTTTTGGAGTTGTCTTTCTGGCGCCTCGTTTGGGCACCAGCCTTGTTGAAGATGGACCCGCAAAAGACCTCAATCTCAGTCATTCGTTTCACGTGATTGTCCGAGTACGTGCTCATAGCCTGTGTAACGGTATCTTCGTATCTTGGGGGACTCTGTCAGCAAGCTGTGAGGGAAATTTGATCGGGGTGCATACACATCACGAAGCCTCTTGGCCTCGGCTTGCCTTGTTCTCCACGTCACCCTTCCACCAGTATAATCATATATTTTTCGTTCAATTAGCCCGACAAACTGATCCCAGACCGAAGGGCCAGCTCTGGTCACAACTCGCTGGATATCCTCGGTCCAGATATGTTTCTCATCGACGTTGCGGTAGAGAATGCCAAGGATCTTCTCAGACTTGTAGTATTGATGCGGCGGCAGCATGTCTTTGTCGTCCTCTTCCAGGGTTTCATTCTTACCGATGAACTCGATCTCGTTTCGGTCAAAAATATGTGCGGGTGGAGCAGGCGCCAGACAAGGTCTCTGTCAGCAATGGTCATAATCGGCAAGCAGCTCTTACTTACAAGTCGGGGCGGAATCTGGGAGCCTTGGGGATCTCTTTCGTATCGACGGGAATACCGGTCTTGGAAAAGTCGACAGCTGTCGAGTGCAGCCCAGCGAGCGTCAGGCAGTCGTTGCCCAGCGTACCATTTGGATCTTGATCAGACACGACCAGATGTCTCGTCGCGATCAGGCTCAAACAGTCTGACTGCATGAAGTCGACAAACCAGTTGGCCATGTCCTCTCTTTCCACCGTCCTGCCCAGAGCCGCCGGCGTTACTCGCGGGTAGTCGGCAGCTTTGTAAGTGACCTTTGGCATGGCGTCCCGATCCCAGATAATGTTGTAAAGGTCTCCATCCAGATCGCCACCACTCAATTGGCTGGGCAAGTCTCGCCTGCCGAACTGACTCAAAGCTATGCAATTGCGCAAGTTTCGTAGCGGGTGCCCTGCGGGCGGCGTCCGCATCTTGACCAGCTGGATGTCGCCGGGATGCAAAGCTGGAGATCTTGTGACGAGTACAGGACCATCTCTCAACGATCCATCAATGGAAGTCCTGCCAGGTCGTCGGTATGTATCGTAAGCGATGTACACCTCCCCTTCTCTCAAGAAGCCGGTCTCATCCATGACTCCGAAGACAGTCACGCCTTTCGGGACAGGGATTCTGGCTTTGTGTTTGAGTAACCGCAGTTCTTGAAGCACGACATTCTGGACTACTGTCCGCAGGAAGTCATCTCGTCGATAATCGATGCCATATTTATCAAGACTCTTGATAAAGGATGGGAGGAAGCAGTTTAGTCCGATGCCTTGCATATGCAAGAAGGTTCCGGTGTTGTAGGCGTCCGCTGTGACAGCTCGAAGTCGATCTAGTTCTGTCTTTTGTAGCCGAAGGAAGAAGTTGTTGCGCACTCCCAAGTCTTCCAAGATCTTAATCATCTGGCGATTGAGGACCAGCTTCAGTGGCTTGGATGCTCCGCCGCAAATCTCGAGGTTCTCGGTGTCCTGACTTGGAAATTTCTCCATGGACTCTCTCCTGATACACACGACACGGCCTGGAAGACGCGTATCAAGCGATAGCATCCCTTTTACGCCTCCCCACCGAATTTGAAGGCAGGTAGGGATGAGAGAGCCCCTCGGCAGACGGGGCCAGATCAGTTCGAGGGCTTCCCTGGAAATGGTGCCCACCCCGTCGCTGAAGACGCGGTCGTCGCCCCCAATGGAAGACTTAATGTCGGGAATATTCCAGGCGCTGATGTCGCTATCAGTGAGAGAGATGAAGGCAGGTGTCTCAGAAAAGGTCTGCCCAATCCTAGCGGCACACTTGGCCGGAATTTGAATGTATTCGAAATCACCGAGGGACTTGATGATGTGTCTGTAGAGCTGCATTTCTCCGCTGTCGTCGACGAAAGGGGCCATGAACCAAGCTGCGTGTGATCGGAGAGAAGAGTGTGAGAAGCCGAGGAACTGGTAGATTCGTCCAGCAACCTGAATTCCTTTGTTCAGTACATTCTTGTAGCGCTCGAAAACATCTTCGTAGTTGACCCTTGGATTGAACCAGAGGTCGGTGCCGTCCTCGTCACAGAACTGCACTCTCATGAAGTAGTCTGTGTGGTTTCGGTGTTTGCGAAGGATGCGGTTGAGTGGCTCCATCTCGGGTCCGTGAAGAGTGACTCTCGTGGGTGTCACCATGGCTTTGAACACCCATGCGTGGTGATTGGACACATCCGGACCGTACAGGGTACTCCTGTAGTCACCTTCCGCCTGTATTCTTCTTTCCATCTCGAGGAGGAACTTCAGAATCTCATCTGGATCCAATACGTTCGGATGTATGTCGTGAGTGGGGAATGGTAAACATTCTCGAGGCCCATCACGCAGGCTTTGAAGCGCCTGGTCAGATAGCGGGTCTGGCCGTTTCGCCTTCCTTGCCTGCCTGAAGAGAATCTCGATCTTGAGAAGCAAGTCATAGGCTACCCGGGGATGTAGGTAATTGTTCCAGACCAGAGACTGCATGAGAAAAAGGATGCGAAAGGGTAAGGCCGTCTCTGTTCCTAAATGTGTCAAGTGCTTGTAGAAAACATCCCATGAGCTTTGATAGTCAAGCGTCCAATGAGCCGGGCGTCCATCGTACGAAATTTGAAAGTGGACGATGCTGAAAAGTTGCCTGTTCTTCAGCGACATCATTTTGTGGTCAAAATCAGTATCGAGAACACTGAGTTGGTAAACTAGACATTTGCCAGCGTCAGCGGCATTCAGTGGACATCTGGTATATCGGTGCAGCGTACGAACTGTTTGTGTTGAGGCGCCGGTCTCGAAAGGGTGAGTTGTGAAAATTGGTCTTCCAGCTTGACCTTGTTGCGGTAGAATTTGGGAGGTTCGGATAATATGAAGGTAAAAGTGCATGGGGATGAGGAATGAATTAACTCAAAGACAGAGGAATACGGAATCTCAACCTTGAAATCATTTGTGAACTTGGTGATAATCATCCTTCTGCCAAATGATGCCACAGCTCCAATATCAAGGCGATACTGCTCAACAAAGGTCAGGGTTTTGGATCCGTTTCGAAAAGAATTGTGACCGCAAGCCAATTGTCTGACTGGAAATGCGATGGCTTCCTCAGCAGAGAGAGCATCGAGTCGATCCCGATCTTTGACTTTCTCCTGGAGGCGATGATGCAGGCTCTTGAGCATGAAGGGGTCCGGTGCCTTATTTCCTGCTTGGACGAATATGGGGGTGTTCATGAGATAGAGCCTGGCCCTCTCCTTGGGGCCCTTTCTGGCTTTGGACGAGAAGCCGCGGCCGTCTGTTGTGGCTGGATCAGCGATGATCTGTTTGCCATAGCGTTTGAGAAAGAAGACGCCATCCTTCTGGTTTAAAAAGGTGACCCAGCCGACGTTTTTGTTGAGCTTGGAATTACACGTCCATGCAGTGATGCCCAGGGCATTCATGTAAGGTTTCAGCTGTTTCTCCAAGGTGCGATCCGTCAACTGCTGAGGGACGTTGGTCATGAAGACCTCCATGATGATAGATGGGTTGCGGCTTTCGACCGGACTGCAATGGACAAGATAGAATAGCGGTGATGAGGGAATCCCGTGAATCCGATGTTGTTGAGACCGTCAACTTGGATGTAAGCATTGGCAGAGCAGACAGCTCGTGGCTCAATTCGGCATGTTGACGGGCGATTGCATCTAAGACGGATGTCAGTCTTGGTCTGAGTAAGGGTTCCTCTCGAACAAGAGATAAGGTAAGGTACCTTAACAAGATGATGACCTATGTGTTATGAGTGATGTCCCGTAGCCAGTCACATGAGAGGCTCGTAGAGGGACGTAAGAAATGATTTCAATTAAATGGCCAGCAGGCTGGACGAGCGGAAGCTTTCCAGGCGTGAACGACGGCGCTTGCTCCTGTGGTGACGGACGCCAGCTGGCAAACGACCACCCGAGCAGCAAACAAGCTGGGATGAGGAGCAAACAATGCTCTTCTGCAGGCCAATGAAGATGCCACTCGAGACTAACGGGAACCACTGGGCAGTTGGCAGGATGGGAGCTTGATGGTGCCGTCCCTTGGTAAGGTACTTGGAGTAGCTTCCGTTCGCTGTGTCGGCCTCCCTGCGGGGTGAGTGGCCCCTCCCTCCAACCTCCAATTGTGCCCCTCCGTTGCTTTGAGCTCCCGATTCGGATTAGCGCAGGCTACTGCACTCTTTCGTTGATTGGCTCGAGAGACACATCTCCACCACAGAGCGGGGGCTGTTATGGTCAATGATTGGACGGCCTCCAGCCGAAGCGAGGGGCTGTCATTGGTCGTCAACTCAGCAGGAGGGGTGTTCCGGTGCTGAAGATGAGGCAGGAGAGAGCGTCCATTGCCGCGATGGTCCTACCTTCTGATCAGGTAGTCTCTGATGGGAAAGAGCTCTTCACACCGCCTTCTTCACTCAAGATCTAGGAAGGCATCGTTGCCCAGGCTTGTCTCGAGATTCTCGCACAAAACAATCCGAGCAGGAAGACGTCTACCCGGAATGAGTAGCAGCAGTGTGTTTTTCGACGATGGACACCAACTCAGAAATGGATCCCGTCTCGCCTTCTCCAACTATTCGAATTGTGACTGAAATCGGACATCAATCCTTTTCTCGTCTTCACAATGCTCTAAGCACAATTCCCAGGATTGCGAACCGAGTCAACAGATCTTCATGCGACCGACATCGCTTGAGTTGTCCAGCAGGAAAAACCATCAATCGCGGTCGCAAGACCTAAGATGTCCTGGCAGAACACTTTTCCGCCTGCCTCCGATTATTTATCTCGACGATGCCGAGCAGCAATGCCCCTCCTCCGCGCGAATGCTACCTCTGCTACACGAATACCCCAACCAAGTCGATAAACAGCACAACGGACGGTGACAGTTCAGCGTCGTTGACCCCTCACCACCGCTGAAATCAACCCTCTATCCCTGCTGCCACTGGCTCGTTGCGCCGCGCGAGGTGCCGTGCCATCATCCCGAACCTACCGACCCTCCCCAAAATCGACCCCGCGTTCGTCATCTGCCCCGCCCACTGCCGAGCAGCACCACCGAAGTCGCCGCTGAAGATTCCGGCTTGTTTTTTCTCGATACTCTCCCAAGCCTCACTATTTCTCGTTCTCTTCCCAAACCACAATTGAGTCCCGGGAATCATAATCGAGGCATTGAGATACAATGGCGACCCCTGGAATGCTCTACGTTACTATGCAGCCGAAGCCTACTCTGGCTGAGGAGCAATTCCACGAGTGGTACAACAACGAGCACGGCCCGACTCGCCTGCGTATTCCCCAAATCTTCACCAACGGCTTGCGGTACCGCGCCAACGACGGCAAGGAGCCAACCTACCTCGCGAGCTACGACGTGACCGACATGTCTCACTTGGAGACTCCTACATACACCACGCTCAGAGCAAACAGATCTTCGCGCGAGGCCGAGACCATTGGCCAGGTCGCTGTCACCAGATACTTCTTCGACCTGGTTATCGAGCGCAAGGCCCCCTCTTTCCGCCCCATTGAAGAGCTTTCCGATAAGGAGGCTGAGGGTCTCGAGCTGGTCGCTATCGAGACAAACCTCAACGACGAGGCTGCCGAGGGAGAGTTCAAGAAGTGGTACGAGGAGGAGCACATCGACATGTTGTCAAAGGTCCCCGGGTGGCTGAGGACGAGAGTCTTCAAGATCTCCACCCTTGGCGACGGTGCCGGTGCCAAGTCCACATTCTTCGTACTCCACGACTACGCCCGCGAGAATGGACTCGGCGGCCCCGAGCACAAGGCCTCCACCGCTACGAAACGCGCCGGCGAGATTGTCAAATACGTCAAGGGCATGAACCGCCGTACCTACTCACTCTTTTACGTTTTCGGCCCGGCGCCCCGCGATCTGAACAACCTCAAGAAGCAATCAGACTCGGTGGCCGTCTGGGCGGCACCTGATGGCAAGACCAACACCGTCCCCGGCAAGGACGGATCTATCAGCTCTTACATCACCGCGGAGGATAGCCTTGCTATTCCCTACAGACTCGAGGGCAACCCCGCGGACGATGCTCCTACTGTTGCTTTCTGCAACTCCTTGTTGACGTCGCTGCACATGTGGGATCCTGTCGTCGAGATTTTGAAAGAGAAGCGTCCGGACCTGCGTATCCTGCGTTATGACAGCCGTGGAAGGCACTCCATCCCCAGCCCGCCCGTGCCGGCAACGCTGGATCTGCTTGCATCTGACCTTCGCACAGTCCTCGATGCTCTGCGTATTCCCAAGCTGCACGCCCTTATTGGTGTATCAATGGGAGGTGCGACCACGACGAACTTTTCCCTCAAGTATCCCGAGCGTCTGGAGAAGTTCATCGCTTGTGATTTCAACGCCACATCAAGCGCTGCCAACACCCAGGCGTGGAAGGATCGCATTGCCGTAGCGGAGGAGGATAGTGGAGCTGGCATCGCCAAGCTGGCGCAGCAAACGGTGGGCCGTTGGTTCCATCCTGCGACGATGGAAAAGGAGAGTGTTGTTAAGGCCATGACTGACATGGTAGCCGCCAACGACGTGGCCGGATTCAGGTACAGCTGTCAGGCGCTGTGGGACTACGACCTCAAGCCAGCCCTCGGTTCTTGCAAAGTTCCCGGACTATTGGTCGTCGGTGATGGCGATGCCAAGGGCGCACTCGTGAAGGCGATGGACGGATTTAAGGGCACGATCGGTGAGAAGGGCGCAGGGTTGAAGATTGTGCCGAATGCTGGTCACCTTCCCATGTGGGAGAGCCCTGCCGCATTCTGGGAGGCTATCCAGGGATTCCTTTAGAAGATAACATAAGTTTCGCCGAATGAATCCTCGCTATGGCAGCAACGGAAAGTCAGTCGCCAAGAATGTTCTCGGTTTGTCGAATGTCGACAGGTTTGGCCGTCGACCAGAAGGGGGACGTGATGCAATCTCAATCTGCCGTGATACACCGGCCTCGAACCGAACAAAGATGTTCCCTGAAGTCGTGGTCCAGGCAACTCAGACCACACTCACCGCCATCGTCGTCAACTCGGCACATTGAACTGTCGAGCTGTCCGTTCTCAGCAAACATGACTGCCAGGAAGGCTTGACGACGACTGAAGTCTATCCAAAACAGACGCTAACCCCAGAGAGGTCGATGCTGGGGTTGGGATTCGCGGCGCTGGACTGTGTAAGCGACGACAGCCCTGTCAATGCAGGTGGTCCCAGGGATTCCGCGCCGTGACGCCGTCTGCAGCGCTGCAGGAGGTGTGGCCTCCTGTGTCACGGGAGGGGGAGACCCGACGGCCGCAGGATGGCCAGCGCGAGCGGCGGCGGTTCGTTGGTTGGTGCTGGTTGTGAATGATTCAATGCTGACTGTTCGCGACCGTTTGTTCGACGGCCATGCAGGCCCGTTTCATCGAAAGTGCTCTCGGACGACGGGTTCTCGACGACGAGATGAATTCGCAGTTGCCAAAGTCTCGGCGCATGAAGAAGAATTGGTCTGGCTGCTGTCGTGTTCATCTCGACTATGAGATCGACGCAAGGAAATGCCCGAAACGAGATCACATGTTGCTGGGCGCGCCATGGAAAGGGGAAGAAGAAAATTCAATAAAAACGTGGGCGGCAAATGTGGAGCAATAATCCAGGGGTGAATGGCGCCAGGAACCACACCTTAATCATGAGTTCGGATTCTCTTACGCTTCTGTCTGTCTTTGCGCTCGCTGACTGACTGGCTGGCTGTAGGGAGAGGAGGGATCATGCATAACTGAGTCCCGGCATCATCACCACCTCCAAATAACGGCACGACGTTAACCACAACTTGACGACCAAGGAAAGCGAGGCGCTAACGAGATAGCGACAGCATGGGGGGATATGCATATTCCGTCGGGATCTGGCTCCGAAAATTCAATTCCAATCAATCACGCACAGGCCGGCGGCTCTTGGGTGGAGCACGATGCACACGCACATCTTCTTATGATCTACCTTGCCTTATTAAGGGCGCCATGAGGGGCTGTTTCATGGCCCGCGCTACGTCTGAGATTCCGGTGTGTTGCTGTGCTCTGCTAGAAACGGCAAGTCTGCAAGTCATGAATCCCCACGCGTCCCACGCTTCACGCGACCGACGCTCTATCAGCGACTCTTTCAGACGCTTTGCTGATGCCCAGCCGGGCTCGATACGCCTTTACGGGATCCCCTGCCGCTGGCCAGGCACCATTTCTGGGCAAAGCCGTCTTCGCTTGCCAGGTGCATCGCCATCATCAGCCAACAACGCTTGCCAACACCGCCTGCCAACCGGGCAAACGACTCCATCATGACCGTCACCTTCCCTGTGCCGCAGGACCCCGGCTGCGATCCCGGCTGAAGCCCCTGGGCCAGATCAATGATCCTCCTTTCCATGATTTCTATGACGGCTGAGCAACCGGAATCGACCACGACGCTGGAGGCGGCTGGAGCTGGGCGCCACGCCGCAGCCCGGGTGGAACAGTCCATGTCATCTTTGCAAGACCGGTCACCCTTCCAAATCGGAGTACATCCGACG